TATGATTCAAGTTTCGTTTGTGAATAATTAAAAATCGTACTGATTCAATATAGTTTAAAACAGCATGCTGTCTTATACATTCCTTATCGGCTGGTTATTTCTCGCTACCACTTTCATTTCTTTCATTCATTCAGAGTTATTACTCTTCTCAAACGACGTTAAATAAACAACTTTGTCAAAAATCTCACAGGACAATTGATTTCGAATAATTCTTATATTTTAAGTTCATATTCATCACATAATCAAATATTCAAGCCTCAAAATTTATTACAAATTCTCTTGATTCATCTTTCTATTTACAATAATAACATTTTTTTTATGTCAGATTGCACAGGCAGCTTGTGCGGGGTTTTTTTAAAAACGCAAGCCGCATGCTCTGGGCTTATGGTGAAATTCACGTCAGTCACAAAACTGCCGGTCCATTTTCCCACTGGAACCTGGAAGAACTCGCTGCAGAGAGCTCACTTCTCCTCCTTGAATGTGCCAATTTCTCTATTGAAGATTACCCTGGCTATAATAACAAGAGAGGAGATGGACCCAGAAGCGACCAATCTTTCCCTCTAGGAAAGTGCTCCACCTTCAAATTCATTTTTGGACACCTTCTCAAAAAGAAGAATCCCTTGGGAAATACTGAATTACTTCCTTCATATTCCTCTATTAGCCCTATCATGGACAATTATCTTGACCATAGAAGCATTAATGATATCAGTTACCCAGAAACTCGCTTTCCATTCAGCTTGGAGAGGGTACCCAGAAGTATTAATTGTTTAGAATTTAGAGAAACTGCTCAATGGCCGTTTTCTAGGATTGATAATTTAGGTTTGAGGATACAGGGCAATAATGATTTCGAATTTAGAGATTTGAACATGTTCAGCTTGAGGATGCATGAACTGGAGCATTCAACATTGCCTGGAGTTTCCCTACGAAGTAGGGTTCCTCTAACGTATAGTTATAATACTGATGTATTAGAAGCACCAAGGAGAGAGTCATTTGGCTATAATTATTTGAGACATTATGAAGAGCTTCCCAGCAGGAGAGTTTCAGTTATGGAATACGGCGGAATGTTCGATCGGCGTATTGAAGTGGTTGAAAAAACTCGCCTGAGGGAGCTGGTTATTTGCCATGGAATATGAGTAATTTGCTGCATTTGTTATGGTTGGATACCCTGCAAAGCTGTCTGGTACTTTGATTCTGCTCATTTTTTGGTTATCTGGTTGGCTTTGTTTTGTGTGGACTCTTTAACGGATAGATAGAGCAGCTTACTGGGTTGTGTGGTTTGTAAGCTTGTTATCTAAACATTAACAGGCATTATTTTTTTTTGGAGAATGGGCGTTTAAGGAATGATCGAAGCGAAACATTTGGTAGCAGGGTTTTTTTTTTTTTTTTTCCTAATGCTTGTGTAGTCATGTCATGATTAAAGTGCCTATGGCTTTGATGCTACATAGAATGTATAATGTAATTGTTGAATCTGGAATTGTTTTTGGAAAATACATGTCTCGAGAGTTAAGAGCCGGGAGGAGTAGAGAAAGAGAGAGATGTTAGGAAATTCTCAGTAGAGAGGTTGAGAAAAAGTCCTTAGGCTTGGAGGCGCCTTTTATTATTCATCGAGCTTCCTATTTATAGTAGACATTTTTGTACAATTACAAAAAAGAGATTGATTATGGAAATAGCTCTCAATTACTTGAGAGGGTGATTATGAAAATCGATCTTGATGCAATTGATGTGTTGATTTAATACTAAATTTATATTACAATTTGAATTCAAATGTGGAAGTCATCATTCGGTGGACATGCTTAGGTTCGATCGACTAAAATGACGAGTAAAGTGGGGCCATTTCTGCCAAGGTACGAGCGGTCGGCCGACTGGTCGCATTTGGCCAGTTTTAAGGGAGTTTTGGCAGATGAAACCATAGATAGACTTGTCGATCGAATTCGCCAAAGGTGGACTTGATTAGTCTGTTTGATCCTTCAGATGACCGGTTTAGATCACGTCTCTTGAATTTAATGACGTGATCATTGTCATTATTTTTAGTTGTTTGATAGTTTTAAGATTTGTGTCGATTGTGTTAGTGTATATGTATTAGTTCCATGAGTTTTCCTGTTTCTTGACTTAACCTTTATTACTATTGATTTAACCTTAGAATCCACTCGCGCATCATAGGGATCATCTGCACCCTTTCTTTTCGATGGTGGGCTGCCAATTGCCTTTTTTTATAGAAAATTCAATCAAATGCTTTTCTTCAAGAAGTAATTCAAGCTCGGATGTAACTATTATTGGATTATTGCAGATCATGTTTAAATTCGTATAATTCATGCCAAGTCTAATGACTAGAGTATTTTTCAAATGTGCCTGATCAATTTTCAAAGAGATACTGTCTTTAAAAGGAAGGATGAGCTTTCCTGACGATATTCCCTGCAATCAAATAAATGAAAGAGGTGTCGTCTAAAAGCTTACAATTTTTAAGGGTTTTAAAGATTTCTAAAGAAAGAAAAACATGATTTAAGAAAGCAATTTTAGCATAAATCAAATCTCAAAATGAACAGATGAACAATTCAAATTTTCATTAAAGGTTTCTAAAGATTCTACAATGGCTTGACTCTTATGTTTATCTTATATAAATTTTAACACGTAATAACTTTTTCAAATACCGCCAAATAATTGGAGGTATCAGATGTTTTTCCATGTGGTCTACTAGTTGGTAAGAACCCCTCTGATTTCTACCATATAAGGGCTTTGTCGAATTGGTTCAAATTTGCCATTGATTTTTCAATGAGTTAGAATCGGCCTCTTGAGAACTAAAGACCAATTCTCTTACACGAAATATTGAGAGAAAATGTGTTTGGGAGACATCGTGCCTTTAGTGTATATAGACAGATATCAATAGAGAGTCAAATATAGAATCTTCGAAAACCTTTGAATGAAATTAAGATTAGAATTAGACCAAAAAGCTTTCAAGGATGACGAAATGTGTCCCAGAATTTTACAGGGTTCAACTTAGCAAATAGAGATTCAAAGAGTAGAGACGTGAAAGCCCCAGAATTTCAGATCAGTTTGATGGAAGGATAGGCCACTAAACTTATCTTAAAAGATGGAGAGGAGATCGATTCCCCAACTGAGTCGCCAGAAGAATCTTAGTAGGGGATTTTATTGATTGCGAACGCCAGCATAGATCTCGAAAGATTCTCTATCTGAATGACTAAACACGACATTTGAAGAATAATGTATATTCCTAAGGGATAAAGACATTACTTAGGATGAGTTCAGTCATTCGGATAAGGGAAATCTTTTGGGAGTCTACGAAACTAGAATTCTTCCATTACCTTACGGGTGTAAGGTAAGATTTATTTTTTATTCTGGGGTTTCATTCCTACAAAACAAAACTCCATAATTAATTACATCTTTAGAGCCGTGAGCCCTAAAGAAAACCTCTCGATTATTATGACAATTCAAGTGGCCAAAGATCAAATTTTCATGATTGGAATGGGGGTCCAATTGGGAGGATATTGGCTTCAAAAGGATGAGACTTACAATCTGATGACAACATGTCATGGGAATGACTCGATATGTAGAGTAGGATTTGAAACGATTTGATGAATTGAAATTGATTAGGTGAAGTCGAAAGATAGATTAGGGATGTTGGATTTGACTGACAAAAGTGATTTAAGAACCCTAAGCCAAGTATAAAGTCAAGAAGGAAAAGATTTCTAGATAGAAAATAAAACCTTAGACTCTATAAGGAATTTTATGGGCCGACAAACCTAGATTTTGGGTATAACGTCCCTGATCAAGATGCCTATGGCTTTTCGTCATCCTGGAAATGTTGGTATCCCCCTTAAATGTCGGAGCATGGAAGATTTGTAGTTTCCAAGCTGTTTGAAATAACTTTTTTAGTAATATTGAGTTACTTCATTATAAGGCATTCCCTGTAGTCTAAGGGGATAAGTTTGTTGTTTTGCATGTCCTAAACTTTAGCACTAACTAGGGTGCCTAAACTAGCATAGGCCTCTATACTTAGACTAACCATGGATATGACCCTTGGTTCGGTGTCTAAATTAGCTAACCTAAGGTTCACGACAGATCTACCCTAGGTTCAGTTCTCGTTCTTTATCTTGGTGTGTTTTAATTGTTCATTTAAAGTTAAATATTTGCATTCATGTCTTGTTTGTTTTCTAGATTTGTCGCTCATGTTGAGAAATAAGGAGTTTTCTTTGTTTTGAGTTTTATTTTTCAATTTTGATTTGTGATGTTTGTAGAGAAAATTAAGTTCTTATCCTTATTTTTATTTTATGCTTTTTGGTTATTTTTTGTTTGGTTTTTGAACATGAAATAACATGAAAGAAATAAGGCATGAATAAAGCATGAAATGATACATGAAACAATATATAAAATAAAACATGTAAAGTAACACTTAGCCTTGGATTAGACTTGGGCTGGAGCTGAGTTGAGGTAAGCTAAATTTTCAGCTTAGGTTAATCGGGGATTGAGCTAAGTTATGATGTGGTTCAACTACTTTAGGCTTGGATTGGGCTTAAGCTGAATTAGTTTGTCTTAGGTTGATTTTTGGTTGCCCTTAGTTAAGTTGGCTTGACCCTAGTTAGCTTGGGTCTGATTTTGGTTTGACCTAGGTTAAGCTGGGTTAACCCAGATTAGCTTAGATTTGATTTAGTTTTGACCCGGGTTAAGCTAGCTTGACCTAAGTTGGGTTGGGTTTGATTTGGGTTTGACCCAGATTAGCTTAGGTTTGAATTATGTTTGAACCGGGTTACGCTGGGTTGATTGAGGTCAGCTTAGGTTTGATTTGAGTTTAACCCGAGTTAAGCTAGGTTGACGCATGTTAGCTTATGTTTGATTTGCGTTTGACCCTAGTTATGCTCAGTTGACCTGGGTTAGGTTAGATTTGATTTGGGTTTGATGTGGGTTAAATTGGGTTGACCCGGGTTAGCTTGGGTTTAACCTGGGTCAGATTTAAGGTTTGGATCAGGTCTAGGTTTGGCAAACCAAGTTCAGATTAGAGATGGGCTAGATTTAGGGTTTGGATTAGATCTGGAATGGGTCGGGTTTAGTGTTTCAACCAGGTCTGGCCTAGACTTAGGTTAGATTAAACATGCGTCAGTTTTAGGGTTTGGGTTAGGTTTGGGCTTGACCTAGGTTGGTTTAGATCTAAGGTTTGGCTTAAGTTTGGGCTAGACCACGGTTGGGTTAGGTATATTGTTTGGATTAGGTTTGGTCTAGACCTAGGTTGGATTAGGTTTAGGGTTTGGGCTGGACCTAGGTTAGGTTAGGTTTAGGGTTTGGGTTAGGTTTTTTTAGGTGAGTTTGGGTTTGGTTGGGTTCGGGTAGTCCCAAGTCGAGCCCAAACTCAAGCCTAATCCAAGACCTTTGAGTTGATTGAACTAGTTTTAAGACTTTTAAATAAAAATGCTAAAATTAAGGAAAGAAGGAGAATTTATCGGGAGGAGAGGTGGCTGACCAGACGAGGAGGCTTGTCGGAGAATTGCTTCCCTTCTTCTTCTCCCTCTACACTTCTTCTTCCTATGCTAACAGTGCCTGAACCACGCCATTCCCTCAGTTGAAGACGCCTTTTACAGGTGCGAAAAATTGGTGGCAGGACCCTCCGGAGCTGTCCGATGAGGTACCAAGCTGACGACAAAGATGAGCCCAACGGTTAATGAGTCATGGATCGCTGCCGACAAAAGGGTGTGATGATTCACGAACTAATCCTTGTAAGAAGGCCATGGATCGCTGATCGAGCTTGCTTGGGTGTGGTTACACCCAGGCCTGGTGTCACCACGCTGAGGTACTTTGTGGCTTGGCAAAATGAGTTGGGTGTCTTTCTGGCCAATTTCGCTGTGTCGAATCATGAGGTGATGTCTGTGTGACTCTTATGTGACCAAAAATGAGGTCACCAACAGCTGCCGTTCTTGGTGTCATCAATCAGCTGGACTCAGGTCGTTGATTTGAAAGAAGCCAGGTGATCGGCTGGGTCAATCTTCCCTTTATAAGGACCGAAGTGGGGAATCCCGAGCTTCATTGGAGGTATGCTTTCTTGGATACTTTGAGAGAAAGCGCTGCCCATAGTCGGTCAAGCAAGCTTTCTTACTCGGTCCGCCCGATGTTGGACAACCGGTGTAGATGTGACACTGTCTTCTAGTTTTGAATCCTCTGGTCCTTCGGTTAACTAATCACCAGGCTAACCTGGGTGCTAGCGGATTATCAAGGGGAGCCAATTGAGGTTGGGTTCTCTGAGACTCTCCCTCCATAGGCGGTGGTCGAGCGTTTTGTCGGATCATGATCGTCCGAATAACCTCAAACTGGTCCATTATTTGCATGCTTAGACTTCTTTCTGTATATTGCGACGCACCATCTCTTTATTAAATTCCGTGGGAGCTATTTCTCTATGCAAGGATTCTCCTTCGTAATTG